TTACAGTGAAACATTTATAACATGAATTTTGAGAAGTTGCTCTATAGAGGAAAAGGGAAAGGTGAAAGAATAAGTTCAGTATAGGCAAGAATTCCCATTGATTACTTTTTGGGGAAAGATGTTTATTCAAAGCGTCAGGATTAAACCACTGTCCTCTAAGGGGCAAAACGCTGAGAGGGGGAGAAATACTTGGAGGGAAAAGGGGCCTGAGGGCGTTCACGTAAGTTCTACCTTCTTTCTTTCCTTGGTCATTTTTCTGTCAAATCAGAATGATTTACTACATTACTGAGGCCAATTCTCCGACTAGTGTTCCCTCCCCCCTCCCATCCACGACCTTAACTTCAGGACTGTGATAAATTATATCCATGCTTGGTAATTTGGTGCTTTACTGCTTCTTCAACTGTCCAGAAATGATGCCCTCACGTAAAGACAATCTGTATATTATTCGCATGAGAGAAAACATGTCTTCAGTTAAGCCAAGATAGTGGGAGAGCAGCGACTTTTCTTTGTCCTACGCGTGGTATGCGCTGCTGCGCTTCGTGCTCAAGGAAGTCAAGGTACCATGAAGTATTTGCTTATTGAAATGTTATACAAATATGCTTTTAAATGCTGATATTTGATGGTCATTTTCTACGGTAAAATTCATGAAAGTTTCATTTCAAGAAAGGACGCAGGAATCGGGGGTGGGTGGTGCAAGGAAAGGGCAATTTACGGAACTATGTTCAAGGCCATTGCGCTCAAGGCGTTTTGAAATTATTAAAAAATATTGCAGCCACCGTAAATAGCCAAGAGGCAACGAGAGCTTACTTTTACTAAGACACTTTTCTTCTCTTTATAATAGCAATCAGTTTGAAAGCTGGAAAAACCAACGTCACTGTCAAAAGTCCAGGGTTGTTCGCTTGTGAGACAATAACATTCGCTGAACCGTTCTCTGGTGGAAAGCAAGTAAAAGTCTTTGCTTCCTTTGGTCACTCAGTTTACAACAAGGCTCGTGGCAATGGTGCTGCTATTTGGGTGGAATAGGTAGATAGAACTCAATTCCGCGCTTGTATCTACGAGTACAGCAACGGCTCAAATTCAAGTGCCGAGATAAACTGGATTGCCCTACAATCTGCTCCCAAGGGAGCACAACTATGTATCACTTCGCTGGACTCTTGGACTACCGAAATGTAAAAAAGATCGACTTTCCTCAGGTACGTTCCATTTTGCTATGATTACCTATAACGTGCCCATGCAGGATTAATCTAAAAAAGGCCGAAACTGGTGAGTTATGTAAGGTATAATCAAAAGATGTAACTGACGACCGCAAATGCAAATCCTCTTAAGGAACTTAACCAGCTGTTCAATCAATGAATTTAGGCAGAAAATTGACGTCACTTAAGTTTCAAGTTCAATTACCTATATACAATGTACATGCTATTATGCACGGACTTCATGATTTAACGGGAAATGACGATAAAAGTGTAAAAGGTGAATCGATAAGCGTTAGTTTGTTTTCAGAACGATTAATACAATGAAACAGCTTACTTTGTCTGTGATCTTTTGTTGCGCGGCTCTTCTTCTTTGTTTTCCTGTATTTTGTTTGTCTGTTCACCTTCTTTTTTTTTTGGAATGGGCAGTATTATAACTAAGACAGATGTCTACTCCATGACCCACACTAGCCCACTCATGTTATCACCTACCTCCAACTCCTCGACCTCAAACCCTCTCACTCTTTCATCCGTATTTGATTATTACACTCTCATATATTTGCGATAGTTATCTGGGTGTTTTGTTGGTACAATAAAATTTCTTGTTACTTTTTTTTTAATTTGCGTTTTTTGGGGACTTAAAGACTAGATTTCTGCAAGCAATTTCTATTAAACGTATTTTTGCTAAAATTGCGACAAAAATTTGTAGCAAAGTTTTGCTACAGTTTGCTATCCTTGTTGAATTTGTTATTTTTGCTATATTTGCGATTTTTTCTATACATTTCTGACAGTTCATTTAATTCTTTTTTTTTTTTTTTTCTTGCCAAAATTGCCAAAGCAATTTGCTACGAAATGTTTGCGACAGTATTCGATCTTGGACATAAGTGGAAAGCCACAATATAGCATTAGACAACTCTTTCAACCATTTTAAACAATAGTGGGAAAATGTGGCCTCAATAAAATGTTTTGGTGAAACGGGTACATATCGTACATCTTGCCTTATCCGGAAAGCGGGGATCCTCATCTTCGTTGATGGACTCTTCGGCTAACTGGCTTAAAGAACTGATGCCGGCGTTAGTTTACAATACTATCAATCAACTTTGCAGCGCAGTAATTCACTGAGTTGCTGCCACAACTTGAATGCGAGTTCGATTGGGCTAACGAGTGAGTTTGTGACTGCTTTTGTCGAAACTCTAATTTCTAGATTTCTATTTGCCCTTATATTTCCTTAAATTTGAGTCTGAAGGATTTATATAGCCCTGTTAGCCACCTTGTATAGACTTGAGTAAGGTACTGTAATTTTTTTCTGTATCGGATCGCCGTTTAAATAACCCAAACACATCAATGATAACCTATATTTATTAACCCTCGGATATGCACGCAAATTCAGACCCCCACCTTAATACAAGGGTGGGGGGTGGATGGGAACCCTCCCTAGAGTTCTTGATATGCTGCGGTATTTCGAAACGATTTTGCCTTAAGTGGAAAACATTTGATCTCCTCTACAAGACGAGGTATATTTTATAAGTGGTGACGCTATTGGGGGCCTGGGACGTCACCAATAACGGTTGCCATCTTGGACACCATCTTAGATTTTACCTGAAGTATTAAAAATCAGGTTAAAACCCCAAGAAATGGTAGTTTTTTGTGCTCGACATATAAAATAACACATAAATAAGCACTTTGCATCATTTTACCCACGGTCTTTTTTTTATTGTTGAGAGAAGTTGAAAGAACATGCATTCTCACTCAAAAATGGCTTGACCATCAGCTACTTATGACGTTATATCTCGTATCCATAATAACCGACCATCACTAAACTTGTCTCAAAGTGCGTGCGAATGATAAACGAACAGCTATTGAAAACGACAGGTGCTGTTCAGAAGCTTCATCGTCTAAGAAAAAACTCAAAAAAAAACCTCGGGGGGCTAGGGGCACCCCCACTGGCATGTGGGGGTTAAAACAAAATGCATTTGTCTCTTTGCGACCAGATGAAGAAACTTGTTTAATTTATGCCATTAGCATAAGACCGGAAATAAATATGAAGGCGTTCTGATAGCCAGCAAACGTAAGCAATAAAAATGAGATCATGCCTGCTGTTTTTCTATTGGTTAAATTAACAATTTTATCAATATGCAATAAATTGGCGCCACCGTTCTGACAAACAATTGTCTTTTTACCCTTGAACTGCTAATTGCTCTAATTTGGGATCTTCCTAAAATACATTGAAACATATCCTACACGTTGAACGTTACTGGCTTTGAGTTAAAATTTCCGTACGTATTTGCGTCATTAAGTAACATCGTTCAAGTATAAAACATCCTCATTAAACTTCAGAAGTTTATCCACCACAAGTTGGTTAACTTCAGCAGATCAAAATAGCTGAAAACTGAGGTACGTAAAGTATAAAACTTTTTACCATTATAAAAGGTAGAGATGTTTCAGTTTACTTACAAGAATATTAATTTCGTAGCCTTTTGATTATCTTTATACTTTGATCATGAACGGCCTTATCGACACCACTGCGCCGTATGTGAACATATTTATCTGTTACGGCTAACAGTTGAAATACCTATTTGATTCACTCTACCCCTTTTCCCAAGAAATGCTTAATACCCAAACTAGCGAGTTGTAGATATGTATGCTGGAGGATGATTTGGACTTTAAGTCTTTAATGATGCCGATGGGTTTTGTGTTGAAGTGGGTGATGGAAATTGCGAGTTGACTTCGTAAGGCCAAATAACGCTGTGTATTGTAGTTAGCATTTGGTTTGTACTTTTATGCCAAGGCAAGTCACTGGTCACCGGTGAACTGTGAGTAGTTAGCTAGGTTTGAGTTGTTAAGTAAGCGAAGTCGCAACACGAATTGGAGTTTGCAAGTTGAGAGGTCACGTTTAAAAGCTCACAATTTAAGTATTTTTCCTTACCATGAGGTCACTGAATTAAAAAGAAGTTCAAAGATGTGTGTTCAATGAAGTCAAATGAAACAGATATTCCTTATATATCATCAAACGATTGCTAGTACCTGGTATAAGAATACAATTATCCTTATCCTTCGAGTGAGTAATGCTTTATAGGGCCTCTCTAAACTCCTTGCATTCGCACAAACTGTTCTTCCCAATATTAAAAGAGAAAAACTTCGCTCACATTTTCATAGCACTTTAAAAGTTTGTTAGCGGCATATCATTTTTGGAGACAAAAGGAATTTATTCTGTCTTGCGGCTATTAAAAAGGAATGATGTGAACTTCATTCGATGTCGTCAAAGTTACTGAAAATAGAAGTTTAGTTGAACAGACCAAAACGTTTTTTACTTCGTTCTTTCATCTAGTGTAGAATCCTGAACACTGACTTGCTCTTCAAAATATCCTTTATCATGTATAGTTAATAAACTATATTTGTAAAAACAAAATGCATCAGCCTGTCTCTTTGCGACCAGATGGTGGAATTTGTCAATTTATGCCCATTAGGACTAGACCGGAAAAATGAAGCATTGATAACAAAACGATCAATGGCGTTTTGAAATGGCCATCTAACGTCAGTAATAAAAAGGAGATCATGCCTGCTGTTTTTGGTCAAACAATTATATTTGTCAACCCGATAAGCAGGCACCTCAGGAGACAAAAAACTGACTTTTTTGCGTTTGATATTTGATATATATATTTTTGGGGGGTGGGGGGGGGGGGATCCTCCTGAAAATATATCGAAACATATCCTGCGTTAAATCTTGTTTGAGTTTTCATTGCTGGGCATATTTGGCTACTTCACAGGCAAACAACTCAGACAATTGAAGAAGCGAACAGCAGATCTCTC